TCAAAGTTATAAACAAGATAGGAACCATTTTGATCTTTTAATAGTTTATATGATCGGTATTTTTGATTCCTATTTAAGAAGAGTGGCCATAGCAACAACCTAGGACCGCACCAATAGGAAATCGAATGGCAAATAGCGTCGCCTATTTGGAATTCGACATCTGCGAGGCAATTGCTTTGCAGTTTTAGCTCATTCATGAACTAGTACATGCTTTTTGCAGCATGAATAGCAAAGCCTTGTTAACCAAGTAAGTCGATAACACCATTTTTTTTGATGTCGTAGACGTGTACGCGATGTACGCATTGACGTTCATCCATTCGAACAGGCTTTGGTTATTTGTTACAAAGCCGAAGCGACTATTCTTGGGGAATCAGGAGATCCCGTCATAGGCGACAAAAAAGAATGTCAGAAGATGTAACTCACTTTTTATCTGAGAGGTCTTATTTTCTCAGAATTCGGTTGAAAAACCTGAACGAACAAACAGACTTGAAGGCACTTTCAGAACAGACGATTAAGAGTTGTAGCTTGATAGCTCCATCAAGGCTTCCTGAAATTAAGCACCTCCTTAAGTATCTTCGAGACAGGACTCCTAAAACATTGATTTTGGGTAAAGCAAATAACTTCGCGTTGTTAGGCATTTGATACAGTTACTACTTATTGTACAACCTGATAAAAGGATAAATAATACTGGAGAGATACATGCGTCGCCACTTGGTTATTTAAACGAAAGGTCAAGATGGCTATTTATAGTGTTCTGACTTATTGCTTAAAAGCCTTAAATTTCCATTACACGGCAAACCATCGGTTAATTCAAGAAATCGGCTCCTATTACCAGGCATGGAAACCATGGGGCAAAATAATACGGGCATAATTTCTGGTTTTTCGTCACACGCGGCTAAGGCAATGAAAACATCATATTCGTTTTATCTGTTTAGATAAGCCCATTCCTCATTAACTCTAAAAACTTTTTGGAATCAGATTCCTGTTATACCCAGTAAAAATGCAAGAAATTTTCTCTTTTCAGGTGCCACGAAATCACCCGCTAATGAGGCATTGGCAGATCCTGGCGCATTCGATTCAGCAAAAATTGACGAGACAGCTAACATGGCTGATTTGGATGAATACTTAGACCTCCTCTATGAAGACACGACTGAACAGCTGCGATCGTCAGCATTGATACTTCAGCTAGCGAGAAATCCCGACAATTTGGAGGAGCTATTTCAAAACGGTACGATAAATTTCTGCCGAACAAGCATACTTGTTTAAAGAAACCCTTGTGGGAGCACTAGCACGCGTGCTACGGGAAGATTGGAGGAAGAATAGTGATCTGACCACAAATTTGGTCTACATATTCTTCTGCTTCTCATCGTTTTCGAACTTTCACAGTATGATTATGCACTACAAGATAGGTAGGCAATACGATTGGCAGGCCTGACCTGTATAGGAACACTTTGCATGAGCATTTTGGAACGTGAGACCCAGACCTACGCGAGTTGGATGGAGGACCTCAGGCAACTGCGGATCGCACAGGGCGAGGACTGCTTGGAGTACAAGCAGAATGCAGAAAGGTGCGGGGATCTGATCAGGAAGCAGGAACAACTTCTTAGAGGTAGGAATCGTGAATAAGCGCCCTGTTATAATTAATCCAAGCATTCAAGCGTAAGGAGCATACGATGCTGCAAAAAAGGCCGATGAAATAGCAAGAGAGTCGACTGAAGTCTCTTGTTGTCCTAATAGCCATGGTGAATTGCGAACGCCGCTGAGCAATTCTTGATAGTCTGGGCCAACTGTAACCATGTGTGAATAGTTTGACAGCTATCGAATCACTTATCCCGACTTCCATGGCATGCTCCGCAGTTCTAAGTAGACGTAGTTTCGTCGACTGAAATGAGGTCGCACCGTTTCACGTCGCTTGCTCATTTTTCATAGAAGGGTGCCCGTACAGTGTAGTGTCGTAGCAAACAAGGAGGCGAAGAAGCTAACAGGTTGATGCGACGTGACCGCAATCGCACAAGCTGACTGAGAAAGTAGCAGCACAGGCAACAAATGCAAAGGTCTGAGGAGAATTTTAGGAAGGTAGGAGTTGGCTGGTGCTGTTGTGAATGAAAAAGAAATAGCTTCTGTTTCATGGTTCACCCATACTCCGCCAAGCGATCTTTATCCACATTCCCCCTGTCTGACGGATGACTTGCCTGTCAAGGCCGTTGTGGGGTGCATGTGTAGGTCTGACGTGGACCACTGAGATTGCAGGCTCTGCAAGCGGGGTCTTGGCGATCCGATGTTCTTGCGTTTCTGAGGCATTCGTGATGCTATTGAATCTCCTTGGTGTAACAGTGCGACTGCCTAAGCGGAGAGAGCCGAAGCCTTTACTAATGTTAAAACTGTAAGGCAATAGTGTTTTCCTCTGCCCTCCCCCCTCCTTGTAAGTGTTTGCGCAACAGGCGCGCTTCTCCTATGCCTCACTTGCCAAGGCGATTAGACCCTCGTCGTTGATGCAATCGATTGATGTAAGAGAAGGCGAATTGTCAAATACTCACGATTTGGGCCTCACCTTGTTCGCATTTATCTTAGTTCTCATTGTTCACCAACTACTTGTTGGCAAAACTCATGATTCAACTTTTTTTTGTCAGTTGCCATCTATCTGCTGTTAAACCTTGCGGAAAACGTGGAGGTGGAGGAGAAGATGCATCGGAAGGGTATTGTCGCACTACTCTGTCGTTGTCTGAAGCGCAAAAACCACGACCTGGTGGTTCTTGTGGTCTCGTTCTTACGCAAACTGAGCCTCTTCCAGGAGAACATTGACGAAATGGTGAGTGAATAGGACGGATGGTGGATGCATGAGCATGGCATGACCGATTTTGAGGCATAACGCATGCACAACAAGTCACTCTGTGATGAGGGATAGGGTAGCTGCTCAGCGGAGACTGGTTGCCCTCAGCTTATTCACCTCAAAGCCATCGTGCATCAGGACGTAAGCATTGCTGCTACTTGGAATTACTTCTCCTACCACTCCTTTGGTTACTAGCATTAGGATTTGCTAGGGATGGAGTTCCGTGCAGCACGTCAGGCGTTGCCTTCAGCTCAACAGCAACAGCGACGACGGCGTTTCCTCGGTTAGGACATGTTGGTCGGATTCATGGGAACACGAGGTTCTTACCAGTGTTCTTGGTTCATTGGTTGCTTGTCTTTCCAAGTGACCAAATTCCACCCCAACAAGAGTGCTTGTAGAATCCTCCCGATGATGGTCAATATGTGGATGACATGGAATAGAATTGTCCACCGACCCATTCCACCAAGCCCCACATTCTTGGCTCACACCCATCCTCCCGTGCACAAGACTCGTCTGCGAAACACCCACTTGTTGGTTTGCGCGTTGTGAGCGTCTCAGCTAGGTCCATTCTCCTCTCGCCAACACTTTTACTCTCATGATTGGAGGCACTAGCGTAAAAGACAATACTCTTCCATACTCCACTGCTGAATACCATGGCAGTTGG